AAAAAAAAAAAAAACAAACAAACTATAAACATTTCAGAGTTCATTATTACAAGCGATTTTAGGAGAATTACCACTATCTGAAGGACAAATTGTAGTGAACGGTGTAGTTTCTTATGCATCTCAGGAACCATGGTTATTTGCTGGTTCTGTACAACAAAATATTCTATTTGGTTCAGCAATGGATGATGAGCGTTATAAAGAAGTAAGCATCTGCAATTAATAATTATCATTTAAATGAATTTATTCGATACTTAATTTTAATCTCTCGTATTATCTTTTCTAATTTAAAAAAAGGTTATACAAATTTGTGCCTTAAAAACTGACTTGGAACAGTTTCCATATGGTGATAAAACAACTGTGGGAGAAAGAGGAGTTTCCCTCAGTGGTGGACAAAAGGCGAGAATAAATTTAGCAAGGTAAAAGAAAATTAGGAAAATAGAAAAATAAAAAAATTAATTAGAAAACCTATTATTATTTTTTTTTAATTTCAAATATCGTAATACAAGAGCTGTATACAAACAAGCGGATATTTATTTATTGGATGATCCTCTATCAGCTGTAGATGCTCATGTTGGCAGTCATTTATTTAGAAAATGTATTAAAGGTAATAAAATTAAAAATACTATTGTAATATTTATTGATATTTTACTTCCATTTAATAGGTTACCTTAGAAAGAAAACTTGTGTTCTTATTACCCACCAAATACAATACTTGAATAGCGTAGATCAAATTATTCTTATACATAAAGTAAATATAATGCCTATTGAAAATATAACTAAATAATACTTTTTTAGTAATTTTATGTTTTACATAATTGATGGTCTTCTAGGGAAATATTTTAATTGAGGGTTCGTACAAGGATCTTCAGAAATCAAATTTAGACTTTACAAAAATGCTTGAGTCACCTATATTAGTTTCAACCGCATCCTTTAATGAAAATATTTCAAAAAATACAAGTGTTAATAACCATCGAATAGATTATAGTCGACAAACGTCTATACAAAGTATCGCATCATCATTTGAAGATGCCCAATTCAGTGTTTCTCAAGAACAACCTGCTGAAGTATCTGAAACTCGAACATCAGGAAGTGTTTCAAAAAATGTTTATTCGTCGTATTTTCTTGCTGGTGGAAGTGGTTGTAAAATATTCTTCTTCTTTATCATATGTATTTTAACTCAAGTACTAGCATCAGGTGGAGATTTCTGGATGACCTATTGGTATAACAGCGTATTTTTAATCTGCTAAAAAATATTATTTAGTATTATATATTTTTTAGGATAAATCTAGAAGAACATGTTTTTTATGTAGTAAAAACTCTTTCCACAAACGATAATAACCCAACCGATAATCCGTCTACGACATTATTGTGGTGGTCGATTTCTCGAGAGACATGTTTCATTTTTTTTGGTATTATAACTTTACTTATGATGGTTGCGATTATCATCAAGTCCATAATGTTCGTATCAGTTTGTATGAAATCATCAATAACTTTGCACAATAACATGTTCAGTGCTATAACAAGAGCTACAATGTATTTTTTTAACACAAATTCATCAGGTAATGAAGAAATAGATTTAAATATTATTTGTGTATAATTGTTCGTTTTTATTTTAATAAAGGACGTATTCTTAACCGATTTTCAAATGACGTGGGAGCTATTGATGAAATGTTACCAGCCACATCGTTGGATTGCATACAAGTAATATATTTTAAAACATATAATTTTAAGCAGATTTCCCACATCAAATTTTGAGCTCTGTAATAAATAAGTTTTGTGAGCCTATAAAATATAATTTAATATAAAATAAATAAATATTATTCCTATCACTCCAAGTCCAGAATCTTCTTCCCTCAGGGGCTCTGCTTTTAAATATGGTATATATAATATTTGAATACTATAATGATATTAATATTCATCGTTTAACCTAGATTGGATTATTATTATTTTCAATTGTAATAATTATTGGAATTATCAATTTCTATCTTATAATACCTACTTTTATCATTGCGATTATATTTTACAAATTTCGAGTATTTTATTTATTAACTTCCCGCAGTGTTAAACGATTAGAAGGAGTAAGTAAGTACAATGAAAATTTGTATTTGATTATTTAAATCTCAGAACAGAAAATGTTTATAAATATTAATTTTTATTGTAAATATATAGCAAGAAGTCCCGTATTTTCTCATTTTAATGCATCGCTTCAAGGTTTAACCACAATAAGGGCTTACGGAGCAGAACAAATTCTCTCTAATGAATTTGACAACCATCAAGTACGTAATCGTAATGAATATTTAAATATTCTTTTTAATCTACGCATTAAATTATGTTATTCCAGGACCTACATTCTTCGGCTTGGTATATATTTATTTGTTCGAATAGAGCATTTGGATTGTGGTTGGATATAGTATGTTTTATATATATATCAATTGTAATATTCAGCTTCTTGACAATCGGAAATAGTAAGTTGAAATAATATATACCTATACACGAGGAGTATGTATTTTTATGTTCACAGCCAGCTTTTACGCGATAAAAAAAATTGTTCAAGCGGGAATGTTCTCTTCCTAGGACACCGATTTACCACGTAACACAATACGGCGATTACACAAAATTTTCCGTCTATTTGCACATTGCACAAAAATATTTACCTTATCAACAATTTTGTTATTAGATTTTCTGTTTTTTAATTTTTTTAATCAAATATCGCTAATTTAAAAAAAAACAATATTTCAAGTAAAGAACACAAATTATTAAATAAACTTTATTATTATAAATAAAGTTATGAAAGTTATCCTACTTCTCTAGTAAAAGATACATATTCTACTATGGTTGCCCTAGTGCTCTAAAGTTACGTAATAAATAATACACCGTAATAGTACCTCGTATAATATTAACTTTATTAAAGGCGACACATATATTGAAATAATACAAAATATTAATATACCAAGTTCACACGATATACAAATAAGAATTCACGGTAAATATAAGAATAAAATAATAAACTGAACGCTCGTATAATTTGCGTTAACCACACGACAGTTGACGCGGGACGACTAACTTAAAAACTAATTAATACGAAAATATAAATATTATAGTTAATACCGTCGTCTTTACGATAATCGCGACGAGCGACGGTCGTGGTCCGCGACAATCTTATTCTTATTAATATTTATATATAATATGAACATTGAACATTATGCAACGAATACGTTAATAACGTTACCTAAACTTAATAATTAGCATGAAATATAAAATAAATGATAATTATAATTATATTAATGACAATATTTCCCCACACTACAATACGATCATGAATTAATAAACAATAAGCAGTTACATCTTTAACGGATTCCGATGCTTCAATTTCCAATTGAACATCCACTGATGAGGCTGTAGCCAAAGTATCAATAACTACAATGGGTGCGTTCGATAGAAAAGTAGATGGACTCAATATAGGGTTCCGTATACTTTTTCATAATACGATTCTTGAAACGATGTTTACATATCATTTAATAAAGTAAAATTATTTTTTGAAAAATCTTAATTTGAATTATCATACGGATATGCAAACGCATTCAGAAATACTTTAACAGTAGCATTAGTAAAAAATTAAAACAACAGAAAACCTAATAAAAAAATTGTTGATACGGTAAATGTTTTTGTGCAAGGTGCAAATAAATGTGTAATCACCGTATTATGTTACGCGGTACATCGGTGTCCTCGGAGCGGAACATTCGCGATTGAACAATTTTTTTTATCGCGTAAAAGCTAGCTGTGAACATACAAATACATACTATTTACATGCAGTATTGCAGTTATTATATATATTGAAGAAATCATATCAAATAATAATATATAATTGGTTATAAATAAGCTTTATTTTTATGAAGTAATAACAGGCACTATATAAATTGTTATAAAAGCAAACTGATAAATATATACATATATTTCTTTTATAAAACTAACAACATAGTGAAAAATATTTAAACTAGTACATGGAACCAGTTTGTCTAGACATATCTCTTATAAGCAAAAAAATAATTAAGTAATAGTTCAATAATAATAGATTTTGCTTATAATTTCAGCCATGTATGGAGGAAATGTTGGTCTAGCTATTACACAAGCAATTAGCCTGGCTGGGATGTTCCAATGGGGAATGAGACAATCGGCTGAATTAGAGAATCAAATGACCTCAGTTGAAAGAGTTCTTGAATACACAAGTCCTCCACAAGAAGATGCTCTTGAATCACCACCAGGTAATAATTGACGATTTTAATACATTTTGATTATAAAAAAGTAAATAAAAAAATAAAGCTAACATTTTTACTTAGAAAAAAAACCACCTACGGAATGGCCTATGAGTGGCCAAATTACTTTCAAAAACTTTTATCTTCGATATGGCATAGATAGTCCATTTATTGTCAAAAACCTCAATATAAATATCAATTCTATGGAAAAAGTACTACAAAAATTAGTAATTAATGGTATGAATTAATAATAATTATTATAAATTTATTCTTCAAGGTAGGAATCGTAGGAAGAACTGGTGCTGGAAAGTCATCGTTAATTGCAGCATTATTTAGACTAGCCATTAATGAAGGCAATGTCATCATTGACGATATAGAAATACACGATATAGGACTTCACGAGTTGCGGTCTAAGCTTTCTATCATCCCTCAAGAACCTATTTTGTTTTCGGGAACAATGCGAACCAATTTAGATCCATTTAATGAATATCCTGATCATATTCTTTGGAATGCATTAGATGAAGTAAACCTTTTAGCTCAATGTTAAATTTTCATAAATAACACACATATTATATTAATATTATTTTTACATGTTTATTTTAAAGGTAGAACTCAGACATATTGTTGAAGAATTACCCAATGGTCTAAATTCAATAATTTCCGAAGGTGGTTTCAATTTTAGTGTTGGCCAGAGACAATTGGTGTGTTTAGCTAGAGCTATTGTACGAAATAATAAAATTCTTATATTGGATGAAGCCACTGCCAATGTTGATCCACAGTAAAAATATGAAATATAAATGATATATACATAGTCTGCGCTCGAATTGTGGGAGGGGGTGCACAGGGTTAATTTTGGTAAAATAAACAATTGGTTATATTATATCACGCTTTTTCTTTACCTACTTAGCAATTTATAGATATTACAAGTAAATTATTGTATTATAAAAAATATCTCTAGACTAGTGTTGACAATTGATATAGGTATGAACCTGAACCACTAATTAAGAAAATATCACTGATAATATAAACTTTGTATTTCCTACTGAAACATGTAAGTATTATAGCTACCAAATTGGGAATAACAATAATATTCTAAATGACTTCTTTAGGAAAAAATTTTAATAATAAACCGAATATAAATCAATAATCATTTATATGCAACATAGTTAAATATATTATATTTTGAATATAATAAAGTTAAAAATATAAAATTTTATAACTAAACTGAAATTTACCATTCAAAATTTAAAAATGGGAGGGTGTAGGGAAAAAGCATCTGTGTTAAAAAATGTTGCACTTTAAATGCAGTTTTTATTTTTTGATTAAGCTCATTTACTTAATAATTTACAATTCGAGCACTGTATAAAATACAACATTTTTTGTTTTATAATTTTAAAAATATATTTTATTTTATTATTTGTAGAACTGATGCATTTATCCAAAACACTATTAGAAATAAATTCCGAATGTGTACGGTATTAACCATAGCTCACCGTCTGAATACAGTGATAGATTCGGACAAGGTGCTTGTAATGGATGCAGGTATAATGATTGAATTCGATCATCCACATAATTTGTTAAAAGATAAAAATGGGTTTTTATATAAAATGGTGGAACAAACTGGGCCGACCAATGCAAAATTTTTACATACTGCGGCTTTAGAGGTATTAGACATATTTTATTGGAAATTACATTTTGTATAAGTTTTTTTTTTTTTTACAGAGCTATAATAAGATGATTACAACGAAAGAATATCGAATCGAATCGTAAAAAGAAAATATTATTGAAATTCAAATGTTCATAAAGTTATTGGTTTTAGAATCAGTCCAACATTTTTCTGGTATAGAGTGCTATTTTTTAACTCTAATACTACATAATATTGTGTGTATTATTCTGAGGTTAAATAGTAAATATATATCTAATTTTAATTGAAAATCTTAATATACTCTAAAAATGTGTTATAAAGTATTTATCAATTATTGGCATTCATCAACAATTATTATAGATAATGTACTATAGTTCATCGATGTTTATTTGTCTACTAAAAAATATTTTTTAATTTAAAAATGTCTTATAATATAATAATCACAACTTAAGAAAAATATTCAAGATCAAAAAGCGAGCAAGTCATGGATTTCACTTTGCTGTACAGTAGGTTACAAGTGGGTTATTGTAATGGATGGAATTAAATTTGAATTCAATGATATTATGTCGTTGTATACGAAAAACGATTCTGAGCGGAGACGGTTTATCTGTTTAGGATATATTATAGATTATTAATTGTGACTATGAATTTATTTTATTTTTTAACTGCTATTGTAACAATATGTTAGGAGCTTTGTATTAAATTGTCAAGCTTTTCTACCCAATAAATAAATTTTTATCAATATTAATTTTAAAAAAAAACTAATAATGATCAAAAATTGCATATGCCTATAAATAGTTCAACTTAAGTCAAAATTGCATGGTGAATAAAATACTTATATAAGCATTTGGTGAAAATTGCATGTATCTATGGTCATTTGTTTTAAAGTTACATCAAAAACCAAAATCGATTTTGTCAAAAACTGATTTTATGTAAAATTTCCCGTTTTTTTCCTTAATTTTTAGTTTACTTATCCCGATTATTTAGAAAAATATTGAGAATTTTTTACTTTTGACCCCCCAAAGTACCAACTAGATTCACTTTCTAATCGAACGAGGTACTGAAGTCGAAAATCAAAGCACTTTTACTGTCACAAAATTTGATGACAGACACAAAAAAAACACATGGTAAAATCAATACATTCCGCGCTCCGCTCAAAATCTAAAAAAAAAAATAAGACTGAAAACCAGTGCATTGTATTCCTAGCTTAAATCATTGTAGTGTAGACATTTCATAATTTATAAGTAGGTATATTACATATTTACTACATATCAGTTACATACGTGACATTAATGATATTTAAAGTTATATAACATCGTGATGTGAACAAACTATACCTAGTATAATGATTAAACTTTATAATCACTTATCGCATTATTATGCGTAACGTCGTAGCCAATTATAATTGTATTGATAATATATATTCATATTCTATTGTTGAGTCCAAATCTGTCTAACAATGTATATTTAAACTTGTAGCATAATTTTAGCAGTAAACAATACGTAAATTTGACCAACATGCTAAATATGTAGGTACTTGGAAAAGTTTGTGCAGTTTGCAGAGGACAGGGCTGGGTAAATATAGATACGTCATTGTTTCGCTCAGAACATCTAATTGTCTATCGTGTACATTTACCATAAGTAAAGAAAGAGGCATAATTATCTTCCTTGTAATGTTATTATCAATTATACAATTATTTAGATTGTATTTTTTCGTAAATTCTAAAATTATTGTTTATTGGATAAATGTGATAAAATTAACATTTTAAGTTCTGAACGATAAGTAAATAAAATATAATGTATAGCTGTGCCCTAACAAAACAAATAATAGACACTAATTACTTGGATTAACTAATCAAATAACATGTGTTATACATTAATACATTTAATATAGTTGAATTAATAATAGTTTTATAGTTACCTATTACGCAATAGCAATATCACGTAAACGTTATAAATATCTATGACTATAAATTAAAGACTCATGCGCTACCTAAGACTTAGCCATTAATAATACAAGTATTGTGTACAAAAAATGTATGGATAACTACGTATACGATAATAACTTTAATTATTTTTGTTAAAAATAGTTATTGTAGGATCAACTGGTTCAAGAAAAAAATAACTTATGCAATATTATTTACTTTCTTGTTTACTCAAATAGTAAATACACTATATCCAATTGATATACACTGTAAACCTACTATAGGTACATATAAATATATATATATATATATTTATATGCTTGTCCAGTATACTAGTTGAATACAAGACAAAAATATCACATATAGATATATAGAATTCGAGCAATCATACACTCATTTACTTAATGCCTGTATGATATAATAATAATAATATATTATACGTTTAAATTAAATTTATAAAATATATGATAAATTCTAGTTAGTTTTATAGTTATAAAACTTTTAGCAGTGTAAAAATACTAATAGTATTGTATTAACATTTCTCAATCATAACACAGTTTAGCTTATGAGGTATTTATTTTTACTTAAAATGAGTTTATTGTATTTTATAAATGTATTTTTTTCAAATTTTTAAAGAGTTACAATAACGTCACAATATGCCAAGCAAACGTCGATTAACAAGTATTAACGAAGATAAAAACTAAATTAAGATTAAAAATGTATAACTTATACTTATATACTAGCTATATATAGTTATTTTTGTATAACTACATAGATAATTATTGAATTTTTACATTACGAGTATAGTGTTATACAGTAAATTATAATAAACATTAAAATTTATTTTAAAATTAGCTATAATAAATAATTCCAATTTCATGAAAATGTTTTTTTTTTTTGTTAAAATTAACAAGTGAACATAGTTTTACAAGTATTAACGAAAATAAGATTAAATTTAGTTAATAAATAAATAATATAATTTATGTTAGTTAAGATTCTGTTCGAGGTGAATGATAAAATGTTCAAAATATTTTGCTCAAAAACCTATTTCTATTTAAAAAAGTTATTTTCAGTTATTGTCGATAAATGATTATCTTGATCTAGAGATCAAAATTTAAAATTCCCTTTAATTACTAAAAGAATTTATGAGAACGGGAATTTTTAAAAGAAAAGGTGTTTTGATAAAATCAGTATTGTTTTATTTTTTTATTTTTTTATTTTGTGTAAACCAAAATCAATTAACCGTATATACTTGAAATTTTCAAAGTACTTAGAAGCTTTTTTTAGCTGTTTATAATTTTTATTTAAATTAGGATACAAATATCGAATATACATTGTCACAATATTTCTTAATTTATGTTTAAAGTTAAAATTTTGAACAAAATCGTCAAAATCGTGAAAATCTTCAATTTTTTTTTGTAATTAGAAATTCATAAAAAATTTTTATTTTATATCTAATATTTAAAAATGTATTGAGATTATATTGATAGTATTTTATAAATATCATTATTAAAATTGAGTAAGTACAGATAGTATTTTTTTGTTAATATTAAAATTCTGTTATTATGTACCACGTATTTTTCGTAAAAATCTAAAACAGAAATCTATATATTGCATCGATATGACTGACTAGACAGTAGTCAGTAGACAGTAGATTTTACTTTATGTTTATACTTTAAAATATGAAACTATCTTGAGTGTAGAATACTAATCAACTTATTGTGGATCAACATATCACTATATAAATATTAAACACTTATAACACAAATAAGGAAGGTAGATACATATATATTTACTTGTATTTAACTCTTGCATTTAGTATTTATCTATACAATTACGATATCGATAATAATTATTTTCATATAATTTAATAAACAGAATAAAACCAATCGATTACATTATATAAATATTTATTAACTAAAAATTTGAAGTTAAAATAAATTTAGTTATAGGTAATAGTATGAGAAAATAAAATAAAATTTCCATGAGTTATATTTTTAACACTAATAGGTACTTACTGTTGGGGAAACGTTCTAAATAATGCAAAACTTTAAACTGAAACAAATTTATAATAGTTCGAAGATCGAAATTAGTACCTTATCAATTTGATGAAAAAAAATATATATAAAATTTATTTATTGTTATGGTGAACACAATATATTTCGTATTTTTCAAATGTTTCAACTTTCAACTCAATAATGTTTTTAGAATTCTTTAAATTTTAATTGATTTATCCTCAAAAAGAAGTTTGTACCAAACATCACTTATAAGTTATAAGCATAGCACGCTACTACATTTTTTTCCTCTACAGTAAAGCTCTATAAACCATTTATTAGTTTTTGTTAATAAATAACCATGACAATCCAAGCCTTATCAAAAATCGGCCAGAAACATTGTATCTTATATCCAGCCCAAAAACATGTTTTTATTAAAAAAAAAATTTTTAATAAATATAGACTTGTGAAAATCTTTTAGATACCATAGATTTTAGTATCATTTTTTTTCCATGATGATATTAATTGTAAGTTTTTCCTGCTCGGAAACGATTTCCAAATATCATAAGTAAAAAAAGCGGGTAAGTTGTGGATGTCACTCTGCTGATTGTTTAGAATTAACAAAACCATGTCATCATTTGTAACTTTGTCTTATGGGTTTAAATAATAAAAAGCGAGTAAGTCATGGATTTCGCTCTGCTGTACAGTATAGGTTACAAGTGGGTTACTGTATTGGATGGAATTAAATTTGAATCCAATAATATTATATTATTGTATACGAAAAACGATTCTGAGCGGAGACAGTTTATCTTTCTAGGATATATTATAGATAATTAGCACTTTTACTGCCCCAAAACGTGATGACAGACACAAAAAAAAAACACATCATGGTAAAATCAATACATTCCTCGCTCCATTCAGAATCTAAAATGAACCTTGGTTTGTAAATATAATCGAATAACTAATTGCAAAATCTTTATAACAATGTTGCTTATTGACTTTATTAATGACAAATACCATATTTTTGAATAATATACTTCCTCATCAGTCATCATAAGTGTATATGCTATTTACTTTTAATTTGAAATTATTATTATATGCAAATGGCATGGCATAGTAGGTACTCAAAAAATTTAAAAACCATAACACAGTTTTTATCAACAAATGTATTTGGTTAATGGTTTTCAATTTGATAGTAAATATACCTACCTACCTATATAAAATCGGTGACTTAATTTAATAAATCTTCAATTTCGTAAATATTTCTATTTTCTTGGAAATCACGTATTTATTATTTTTTATTAAAATAAAAATTTAATTTGTTGATTTTTTTAATTGCACATTAATTTATTATTTTTATAATATAATGCATTATCTCTGGTATATTATGTCATTATATGGTTATATTTATATGGACTATATAACTGGTTTAATCCAACTACTTAAGGTAAGAAGTAATCGCGAAAGTAAATAATTATATATTTGTACTATGAATTAATTTATTTTTCAAAAATGACAAACAAACTAGGTATTTGACGCTTATTTTATTTCATTTGACTTTACTCGGTGATATTTTTTTTTTACTAACAATACTCAAACTAATTCCAAAACTTTCCGCTGGAATTACTTAAGGGGTAGACTGTATCCGTTTATATATGAATAAAAACAATTAACACACGCCGTTTGGGCCTTAACAGGACAACCATTTATACTCCAATCTTCAAAACAACACGTTAAATCTACGAATGAGAATGTATCCTTTCAAAATTGTCAGTCTCTGATATTTAACTTGACTACAATGAAATATTCGTCTTGAATATTATGTTCGGTAAAACTCATATTTGTTTGCATTTCTTTGAAGTGTGATCTATGGTTATCGGAAATTTTTATTGAAACTAATAAAATTATTGAAAAAATCAAAATATTTTGTAAAATGAAATGAAAAAGTGTATACTTACACACTGAAATAACATTTTGGGTACACAATTAATTCCTTTTCATTTTTATCATTCAAAGTATCTCTCCACCAGTCATACCATACTTATCATTTATTTACCGTATCATCTTCAATGAAGTATGGCCTAAATCAACCCGTAGTACGGTGTATGTCTATTGCTAACTCAGAATGAATCAGACCCATCTCTCTATTTTTACATGATTAATTTGTATTTTATAAAATTGAATTGTTTTTTATTTATTTTTCTTATTGTTTAGTATTATTCTACCATTGAATCAGGCTATTATTATTATCGTATGACCTTTATTGAATGCAATATAATTATAAAGTACTATTACAGTATTAATACATCAGGCTGATGCCCGCATATATTATAATTTAAATAAATGAACATTTTAAAAGACCATTTAAGAGTAATCTTATACATGCATTGCTTTTAAATTTTAAAATGGTTGAGTTGTTTTATCAAATTTCTAAAATATTGATATAATTGATAATATTATATCTAATAGACAAGGATGAACTAGCCCAGGGGCTTATAATCCAAGTAGCAATCCTAGCCCCCACTCGTATTTATGATCCGGGCCCTAATTACCACTGACGGATCCTTTCTAAAATTTAACCCTTATTTTAGTGTAGAACACTTTCCTAATTTCGATACCGAGTTTATAAAATATTTATAGGCTCCTAATGAATTTTCCACCATGAACCAAAAATAGTCGGTTAGGTTAGATATGAAATATCTAATAATATTTAGATATAGGTATAAAATATCTATTAGAATGGATGGACTGAATATTTTTGGTTTATCATTTTAAAGCGTTTAAAAACAAAGTAGGTGAGAAATTATATTAAATATTAGTACTACTACTGATTAGGTATTTTTAATTTTAATATATTTTTCAAAGTTTATATTTATTTGTACCTATATAGGAAAATATTTAAATATGTATAATATAAATAATTGATACTTAACTGAAATATTCAGAACCAAATTGAATACACTTATAATCCCCTCCATCGTAATGTCTACAAGAAGACCATACATTATATTATCTTTAACGTATTATATTAACTTAAATTTCTAGATTACTCACACCAGTTAATATAGCACAACATCACATTACTTTTTTACCTTAGATTAAAACGATGATCATATTAAATTTTGAATTTCAAAAAACTAGTGCAAATTTATACTGCTATAAGACATTTTGATTAATATACATACTTACTTACTTATTTTTATTGCTACCTAAAATTTTTAAAACGGTGATTGTTTAAATCAATTTAAAATATATTACATATGCAAATATTAACAACTGTTATATTATACTCTACATATATATAAAAATACTTTCAAAATAATTTTTTTAAAAAATGTATAAAAAAATTATATTATTCTCCACATATACATAAAAATTATATTATACTCTACATATTTTTATATTAACGTTCTAGTTTTTAATCTATCAAAAATGATTAATACCTTTATAATTCCATGTAAAATTTAAATTTTAGTAAAATATTATGAAGTTGAACTTAAAATGAATTAAAATTAAGTTATAACATAGGTAGCTTAATATAAATAATTTCGTCTAATTTGTCTAATTTATTAACTAATTATCTACATTCAATGTAAATAAAAAAACAATTTGGAAAAATACAGGAATCGTAAAAGTAAATAATCGTAAGTACCTACCTTTATCATTATTAACTTTAACCAATATATTATTTACATAAACCTATTTAGTAAGACTACTAGACTATTTATATGCTTAAATATAACAATTAACAACCTTGTTAAAATAACAAATGCTAAAATTCATAATATTATGTGTCCATCAATAATATTTTATTTCATTCACAAAATTAAGTTTTATATTAATTGTTATATTAAAATATAGATGTATAACATATAATATGTATATTATATGTATATATGTAAAATTAAAATTAAACTTTTATATTATTTTTAGTTAGGTATACATTTTTTTAATTTTAATTCTTATTAAGATCTAACTATTATAATTATTAATTTGCTATGTTATGTATCAAAGTATGAAATACATGATCAATGTTGTTAAATTTTGTTAAATTAATTGTTTTAGGTATCAAATTTATTTAGTTAAAAATGAATGCTAATAACAAAGAAGAAAGACAGCCGAATCCAAGATCCAAAGCTAATGTCTTCGAAATTATCACTTTCAGGTAAATATGAAAATTATAAACTAAATTTTTTATTGATTACACAACAATATAAATTTTTTTTTTTTTATTAATAATATAAATTATAATTATTATAATTTATATAATTGATCTATTGAGCATACTTTTCTTATTAATTGATTTTATTTATATTATATAATGAGTCACTGATGCTATGAACTAATAACTACTAGGTTTTAATTAACTCTTGTGATAAACTTCATTAATACAATTTACTAGTGATAAAACTGTATTATTTTGTTTAAGTTTATACGAATGTTTAACATTTCCACTCTGCTAGATTTTATTAGCTTCTCATACTTAGCATGTTTTATAAGCTCAAATTCAACATATGGCACTTATTAACGGTTGTTACGATATTTTTTATAAGATATTAATCTTTCCTTGATTTAAGTACGTATTCCTATTTGACCTATTCTAATTTTAGCCAATAAATTATAAAGAGTAAAATTTTTTGTTCAGACAGTTATTTACTAAATTGACTTGGTATTTTACCTACTTAATGAAAAATTTCAAACAGTTCAAATATTTTTAGACAAGATTCCTGAAATCTTTTGACACTAACATGACTAAAATATATATTATTAAAATATAAAATATTGCACTCGTTTTCGTATCATATTTTGATAAGAATATATTTAATGTATTCATTTAAAACACACTTCACATAGTATACAAAATTTAAAGTGTTTTACTCGAATATGTTATTATTATAAAATTCTAAGCAAGGAAATATTTAATAATGAGGTATACTATATACCTATATCATTGTATACCGTACACAATGATGTGACATTTAAAAGTATCAACTAGGCCCAATTTACCATCTATACTATTATATAAAATTGTAAGGGTTTTTCTTAGACCRCGCTWACCGAGAAAACTACTGAACCGATTTGGTTGAAATTTTTTTTGGCTGAAACCCGACACTCCACTGAAGGTTATAGTAACACTTTTGTCAATAAAAAAAAAGTATAAAGTTCATACAAAATCAAAA